AGATCAAGATAACAACTTCTACCTGATAAATTGTAGTTTTCTCAATATCTTTTTGCAGGATTTGCAGGATAATGTATGGATATTATAGGGAGAAGTTCCATGTTAATCACTTCTGGGAGTTAAAGGGTTACAATTTACAAAGGAATGTTTCGCGGGCTAAATTTTATCTGATAGGTCAACAACTGAAGATGTTGTTACCGGAAACGCATAGGAGAGTTCAACCCTGGACATCAATTAATAATCAGGGCTCCCCCTGACTGCAATGGATACTTTTTGAAATAATCACATTCACGTAAATCCCCATAGGAGCTGAGAAAAAGGAAAGACGAAAAACTCATATTTATAGACATTTCACAAAAAAGCTGAATAAAGTAGTGTGCTTAGAAATAAGATAATTTTTAACACCATTTCACTTAGATTTCCCTCACACACGAAGACAACCGATTTGTAATTAAATTTGAAAGGCGTTTCGGAAATGTTTTTTGGTCTTGAAGGAAGTAAAGCAAATATTTTTTTCCTAAGAAGTCGTTCTAATATAAATAAAAACCTGACGCCATGTGCAATACATTTTCTTCCTTTCATCTAATGTGTGCATTCATATTTTGTACAATTGGTTTCATTACGTGATTAGGACCTAAAGCAGTCAGAACGGTGGCGCCAAGGAAGACTTTGATTGAAAAATGAATTTCTGCCTTAAATTAGAACTTCAAAAATGGCTGCATGTGTTTACCGTCTCATACCGCGCCACACCTCAACTTCAGCATAACGTATAAAAGAAGCGTAGAGTTCCAAATGGAAATTAAAATAATTTGCAGTCGCGGTTTCGGTTCGCAAACGACGCAAATTGCGGTGATTTCACGTTGTTGTTTTGCATAGAACGGCTAAGAAATTTACACAACTTTATAACGCACCCGCTGAGCCATTGTTCTGCCAATTAGTTATTTTGTTTTTCCAACTCTGCCCCCAGTAATGAATTCAAATTGCTGCGTGAAAAGCCTGCTTAGAAGAGTTTACGGAAAGAAGATTGTCATCGATGAGCAAATAGAAATGAACATTTACGAATGAACTTCTAAGTCTCACTAGAAAATGTCTTTCGGGTCAAATTTTGTCTTATTGCTAAATGAAATCTTCTATCGCAAATAGGGAAACGTATGCGTGCTGGTTACAGAAATTATGCACGATTGAGTATTGATCAATGCTATAAGAGGAGGGTGCAGCAATTAAAAATAGACTGAAAGTGGCAGGTGAACATGACAAAAATACATCTTAAGGGCCCTATGAAGCTTTGGGGCAATATCTTCCATCTGGAGTTGTGATCGTGTCCATTGGAGCAATACTAACAACAGGACACTGCTACAAGAGAGCAGACGAGGGCTAAAATGGCTGGTGAATTTGAGAGATACTTTTTAGAGAAGAATGACAGTCTTAAAACCATCGTTGAGCTAAACTGTGTCCTCAATGTTCCCCTGATGTTCGTAACCATGTCTGGCAACACTTTTGTGCTCGTAGCTGTAATGAAAACACCTTCACTCCGTTCGCCAAGCACAATTATGCTATGCAGTTTGGCTGTGTCTGACCTTCTCGTTAGCTTGGCAGTTCAACCACTCTACGTTGCTTCATATCTATTGAGAAATTATTCTGTTTTCGAGACAACGAGGACATTGGGTTTTATTGCAAGTGGTGTCTCTCTATTCACCATGACAACAATAGGGGTGGATCGGCTCTTAGCTCTTCATCTTCACTTGCGATACCCACTACTAATGACTCAAAGACGTGCCATTTATCTATTGGCAGCTTTATGGATCATTGCCGTCTTGTTATCATGTTCAGCTTTTCTCAACAAAATTGTCTACGAATATACTTCGACGACATCACATACAGATAAAAATTCAAGAAAAAGCGGTAGAAAGTTTGAATTCTGGAAAGAATCAAGAAATCCAACGCTCGAAGAAAGGTGCTGAGAACGCTTTTATTTATTTCATTGCAATGATTTTATGTTACACACCTTTGTTTATTAGCATGTCAATATCAGTTGAACTTTGGAAAATTGAGTGGATCTTAGCAGATACCTTAGTTTTTATCAACTCATCCATCAATCCATTTCTCTACTGTTGGCGCCTTCGAGACCTTCGAGCGGCAATTTTAAAAACTAAAAGGAAGTGCTTTTGTCAAACGATAGAACAAAATTAAGCAAAGGGATTAGCGAATTAATGGTTAGGCGTCAATTCGCAACAATGAAGTCAGCAAGTTTTTTTGTATTCGTAAGACGTAGATTAAGGGGTCTTTTCAACGATAAGTGACACCTTGAAAGCGCACAAATCCGCTCCCTAAACACAGTGAAAACAACTAATTGCACTGTACTACTCTGTAAATAAATGACTTGAAGTCACGATAAGTTTTTTGGGCAGTTAATAAAGAAGTTTATTGACTTTCGCAAGGTCAAACCCTTATAAGCGACAACCTGTACACATTTGACGCAAAATTTCCATTAAATCCGACAAATTACGTTCAGCAACATTTTGAATAAACCCATATTGCTCCGGTAACACTTCTGAGAGGCAGCCGCAACCTTTGAACTGTTTACGTATTTTTATTAACCTTTAACACCCACTGATCTAGATAACTTGGGTGTATGTTGTGATCGATGTGGCAGTTTTCATGCAAAAGTTATTTTTCGTTTCTGGACATATTCTCTCAGTTTGATTCAGCCAGCTTCAGACCAACAGATAAAAAACCAAAGCTTTTGAGGCATTCATGTTTTTAGGCCAAACACTGACCGAGGGCGTTTGTGATCAATTTATTGAAATTGAATGGTTCTTTTCACTTTTAGCAATCGCGCCTCAACACACAGATAGCATAAATCATGCTATCAAAATCTTTTCAGATTTTAAGTCTAAGAGTTTCACGACTCATCATATTTCGTTGGCGTTCCATTAAATCATTTGCAATCCAGCCACAAAAAAGACAGTGAAAGCAGTATAACCAAGACAGGATAATATATACTTATTGAATGAGTTTGGTCGTACCGGAAGGGAAAATATTTGGCTCGAGGTCATGACATATGGACTGAACGCAGCATTTCATGTTATGACCATTAAGTGTTGAAAATTTCTCAAATTTTGTTTTAACCTTAACAGGACTCGATAGACGGGCGCAGACGAGAAAGCCACAAAAAATATGCTACGATAAACAAATTTTAAAAAAAAACACTTTTTACCGAGTATTTTTCGAGTTAGTGCAAGAAACTCACAAGTAATCGAAAAACGCATCTTTTTTTTATTATTTTCGTTTTTCCTTGAATTGAACACGAGAAGAGAAATTCCATATCTATAAACAGCCATGTATTATTTTGTTTAATTTATAAAGACAATAGCCCTTTACTGACATGAAAAGAAAATAGATTTTATTGATGAATGAAGAAAACAAGGTCCACAATACTCGAAAAAAGATCGTCACTACCGGCAAGCGATACTAATTTTTAAGTATTTTAGTGGCCATAATCCGAGAAAATTTCGTTAAAAGACCATGGATTGAAAATGGTGAAGGCTTGGTGACTCATTCATCAACCTGACAGAGTGGCCCAAAAGGCGAGTGATCATTTTACGTGATAAAGCTTTATTCTCTCCTTTTATTACTCTTTTCAAAAGAAAATCGCTACCAAAAATTGCGGCTGAAATATTTATCTCCTACGGCAAGTTATTATTACTATAATTATTATTATTATTATTATTATTAATATCATTACGTCTAAAAACGCAATAGCTAATGGAGATGACCATAAGATGACTCTGAAGGTCGCGCACCGTATCTGAGTACCAAATTGATAAGCATTTCCGGCATGCCATCTTCCTGTTTTCAAAGGAAGGTAAGTCCGGTTTTGCTAATGTGCACAAAAATGTAACTGTCCTTGGAAGATCTGGAACCTGCAAATATTCGATTTGAATGATCATTGAAGTGCTCAAGCAAGACATATCTTGAAATAGCAAGTTAGAAGTACCTACAGTTTGGGTTGTCGAAATTGCAAAAATCTTGACTTTTAGTTGACATAAATTGAACGAAGTAATGCGTTCGTCTATAATGATGCTCCGTTCACCCTTTAACTCCCATGAGTGACCGAGACAGAATATCTCCTCACAATATCAACACAGAATCAAGCAGACAAGTGAGGAGAATAAGGATGAAAACTCAATTAGTGGACTATAAGTCGATCCAATACCAAATTGAAATCATAAGTATTTTAAGGCAGAAAGTAAGGCGAATTACCAATGAGATGTTGGGAGTGAGAGGGCTAACCGAAACTATATCCCATAACCCTTATCATATATCAATATTCTTAACTAGTACAACAAGTTCTTAAAAATAAAAATAGTAAAAAATGGAATCGTTAGTGAAATCGGAGGCATTTTCACTTTAAGTAATTGAGATTTTGATTGCGATAGAGAAGAATACATTCTAAATATCAAATTATTAACGCGAGTAATTTCACCAAGCAAGAATCGCATGGAACTACCGGCAAGTTTTTGTTCCTCTCATAAAACGAATATGCATTTTTTTCTTTTCATTTAGTGTTTACGACAGGAAACAAATTTTCCCCTCGATATCTAATACAGACTTTGGCACTGGGTTAACAATAAAAGAAACAAATTGACGGTTGTATACGTTATGTATGGAAATTATGCAAAGAAAAGACGAAAAAAAAAAAAAAAGAAAAAAAAAAGGAAAACGCCAGCATTTCATTCCAGGTTTGTGAAACAGACGCTTCCATTTAGAACAATAGGAAAGGAAGACCTTACTAAGAAATGGGCAGAGCGGCGAATGGTTGGTGAGTTATATTTTACCTTTTTTTCATTTTAGCGAAACATTTGGTACTCTTTTCCGCTTATTAATTTATGCAAATAAAAGTATGCCAATACTCAATTGGACATATGTTGCATTATACATTCGCATAAGAGGTTATCTTTTAACCGAATTTAACTCGTCTTTAAATCATCTCCGCCAAGATGGCAATTGCAAGTAACTTTGGAACTAACCAGTCCCGCAACCAGGAGAATAGTTCCGGATTAGGGACCGTTGAAATCGCAAACTGTGTCCTTAACGCTCCTCTGATGCTCGTATCCATCATTGGCAACGTTTTGGTTCTTTCCACCATATTGAGGACTCCATCGTTCCGTTCGCCATCCATGATTTTCCTTGGTAATTTGGCCGTTTCAGACCTTTTTGTTGCCCTTTTCGCTCAACCGATTTACATTTTGGCTTACATGTATACAACAGGAAACAATCATCTTGGCCGAGCATCTCATGTCATGGGGTTTTCTGTTTGTGGAACCTCTCTTTCGACAATAACAGCTTTAGCCGTTGACCGAGTGTTGTCTCTTCATTATCATATGCGATATCCAGATTTTGTGACTACGCGTCGAGCCTTGTGCACTTCAGCCACTCTTTGGTCCATTCACGTGCTGATCTCCTTGTTATCAACTCGGTCAAAGAAAATGTATTACTTCGCTGCAACCGTTTCCATTTCAATATGCCTTTCAGTTTGCAGCGTTTGTTTCATCAAAATTTACAGAATTGTTCATAAGCATCAGTTGCAGATCAACATTCAGCAACAGGCGGTAGAAAGATTGAATGAAGCCTTAGAAAATAATCATAGGGTGACGAGATCCGCGAAAGGTGCCAAAAACATTTTTATCTACTACATTGTGATGATTACGTGCTACACCCCTTTGTTTTCTGCATATTTAACATCAGGTATTCCACAAATAAAATATAGATTTCGATGGACCTTTCCAGTAACCGTAGCATTTTTTAACTCTTCAATCAATCCAGTCTTGTATTGCTGGCGACACCGCGAGCTCCGAAAGGCAGTCTTGAAAACTGCAAGGCTAATTTGTTTCAAGGGACAGATTGAAACTAACTAGCACCACAATATGCTTAAGGACGCATGAAGCCTCACGTTAAAGAAAACTTTAGCAAGAGCTAGTTTCACTAGAGGAGAGCTTCCCTTTGTTTAAAATGGATAAAGCGGCATAAGTTCTGTTATGAAACGCCTGTTTGTGTATAATGTTGAAGGTAGAAGTTTGTTATCATCAAGAAAAAAGGGAAGAAATGGTAAAATAAAACATATTTATAAAAGAGCTCTACCTAATATTGTTAAATTCTTAAGTTTGAAACCCAAATGACGTACTTTTCTACTACAGATCGAGTTGCTGTATTAACGTGATGAAATTTCATAATATTATACATAGACTTCGAAACTACAACTTAAATTTATTGCACTTTTTTTTTTTACACTCTCTGCATGGGTTTGCATTGAGTTTCTTGAAATTACAAAGCAATATAGACTCACTAAGGTAGATCAAATCCCTAAATTAATTATTCAACGAGTTATTAGGTAAGTTAATAAGGGACATCGCTTTGTTGCAGAACAATTCATTTCCTTTTAAATTTCAAACAAACAAAATGCACTATGCGGGCTCCTTAGCAAATCAATTAAATTTCCTTTGACATTAGCCTATGAGTTTGAAAGAACAGCTGCCTAAGAGCAAAACAGCGTCTTTATCTGTCCGCTTAATTACAGAATTACAGAGACACATTTCAAGTTTGAACTTTTAATGGTTCATTTAATTCTAACTTCTTTGCCGCTAATGGTGATCACCAAGTGATAAAAAAAAAACCTATGTTAACAGCTTTTACTATTTACTCGCCTAGAAAGTTACTTTTAGAACTTAAGAATACTAAGTGAAATCTTTCGGTTAAATTACAGCTTAGGATAATAGAAATTTTTTTTTTTTTTTTTTTTTTTTTTTTTTTTATGCTGGTCGCAATAATTATTTGTCTGGTGGTTTTCTTTGCATACTGATAAAAGTATATAGCCTGTGTGCAGCCATACCCTCCCGCCAGCCCGCAAGGTGAAACGAAAGCAAGGGAACGTCTACGCAAACCTTGCACTAATCGTGATGTCACTCTAATTCATGCAAAATAAACTAAATATGTTTTTTTGCAAAGCGGCACGTGTTAGCGTGAAGGTTATCGAGATAAATGAATCTGTAAATGATGGCCCATTTTTTTGGGTGATTTTCAATTCAGCGTCCGAGTTCAAATATATAAATTGCTTTAGGATATAGAGAAAGATTAAGAGCGATTTTTGGTATAGAGTAAGAAGAGGACGATGCTCGATTACCACCGCGCTTACGAAGCTAGATTTCAACGTCCACGTGGTTTCTGATTGTTAACAGTGCCACTGTCGTCGATTAAAGTTGGATCATTTGCCGTAGAATCTCAAGGTATTTAGATATTTCTTAAAGAGATAGTTACGCTGCAAGCGTGAAGAAAGAGCGACTCTTTTCTCAGTAAAAAGAATCGCTGCAAGAAACAAGCAGCTTAAATTCAATAGCTTTGTAGCGTGGTTCGCAAAGAGACCAAAAGTTGAAGGCGGACAATCCTCTTGGCCCAAGTACATTAAGATAGTGCACCTGGTCTTCTGGGAGAGCTTTAACGAGCGGCACAATAAATATAGTGACCGGCTTCTTCTAGAGAAGAAAGGCGATCGATCACTGGCGTTGCTTGATATATCATATATTTTCCATAGCCATTTTGTAACGAAATGGAGACATTGTTACCTTCGAAAAATATATCTGTGGCTTTCTACTGTTCCTCTTGAAATGTCTCTACTCCAGAAGTCGCAAAATTTGTCTCACAACCCCGTCGTAAAGTGCTGTTGTCTGAAGAGTTGACCGTGAAAGCATTTTGTTCACCATCTTGTTAGTTAGTATGAATGTAAATTACCAACTCTAGCCAATCAGAATTGACGAAAGAATCGGCAAAAGAGGTTAACCAATAGAAGGTCATTATACATTTTCTTGCCAAAGAGTGACGTCACGGAACACGATTAGTGTCAGGTTTGCGTAGACCTTCCATCGCCTCCGCTTCACCTTGGGGGAAGGGGGGGGGGAAAGGGTACGGCTACACGTAGGTTAGTAAGTGCAGGGAAAAAGCAGGCATATATGGTTGTACACTTTAAGGTCCTCCAGTGACGAGGGTGATTGGACCAACTTTTGTCAGTCATCTCAACAGTGAAATGTAAGTTATCTCCACTACTCAAGACAGAGATGGGCAATCATAATGAAGAACGGCCTTTGTTAAACCTTACACGTGCATAATTCAACGGGTATAGCCGTAAATCGGATACAAGATGAAACGATGACAAACTTATCGGCAACCACCTCTTCGGGAAATAACGCGGGAGAGACATTTCGTCCAGGGACTACTGTCATCGTGAATAATGTCCTTACCTTTCCAATGATGCCATTGTCCAACATTGGAAATTTGTTGGTGCTAAGTGCCGTAAAGAAAAACACTTGACTTCGCTCTCCTTTCATATTGCGCATGAACTGTCAAATAACTTATGAACTTATAACTTATCTTTTGGCACGCGGAGTTTCCCTCCTTGGGATGACTGCCATAAGCGTGGATCAATTTTTAGTTCTACATTACATCACGTGCGGTATAACTAAATAATGTCTGCAAATCGAGCCACGCAAGTATCCCTCGGTCTTTAGTTTATTGGCTCTCCCGTGGCAATATCAATTTATTGGGAAGGTGTTCGTTACTTATACCTGGTTGTTTCTATTTTGGCTTGCCTCACCATGTTTTCCCTTTGCTACGTAAGAATTTACCTAGCTCTTCCTCGCAATCAATTATAGATTCATGATCAAGAACGAACCGTGCAGGAAATTTAACATGGAAGTTATCTATTACTTCTCTGAAAAGTACCAAAAACACTCTTACATACTTCGTTGTTATCCTCGTGAGCTAGTTTGTCTTTACCTGTTTGCATGAAGATATTGAGTATGGCTCCTTCCCTCTAGACAAAGCCATGGAACATAACTGATGCTTTAGCCTTCATAAACTCGAGCATTAATTGGTTCTTATACTCTTGGCGCCTTCACAAGCTCCAGAGGGCAGTTTTCAGAACAAAAAGACATATTTTATGCCAAAAACCTGACGAGAGCTTACTATTTAGGGCTATAAATGTCAGTAACTATGCTAGTAATTATACCATATGACAAGAGTTCAGCTCATACAGCTTGATTCAGCTATTTTCCATTCTTTTTACCTCTTTCATTTCTTCAGTAGAGTCCCTCGAAAGTCAAACCAGTTTCATATTATGATAATAGAAATAATAATCATGAAAAGCTGTTGCAAAGAAGAGATAAGGGAAAAAAATCGACATTTGTTGCTGAAAGTTAATTAAACGGAATATTAGAGTAGTACGAACTATAACTGTATTTATTTATTATTTATTTATTTATTTATTATATAGCAAGGGTGCCAATTTTTAAACCAAAACAATTATAACAGAATGTGTTTCGGACCAACACGAATTTATAACAAAATTTGAAAGTACCTGCGCAAATATACTAAGAAAATTGATCGGCTCAGGCGAAGTGAATTTTTCACTTCGCCTTCGGCCAACAATTGTTAAATATTTACACAAAAAACTCTTAGACCTTCAAACCTTCAAGGCGTGATTACGGTGCTGTTGTATGCCTGAAATTTCCAAAGTGATTCAGATGTAAAAGGACTTGAAACATCAGGAGGCCACAGATCAAGTACTGAGAGTCTCTTTCCCTAACCTACGTGTAGTCTTCTTTCCCTCCCCCCCCCCCCACCACCCCAACAAAATGGAGAGAAACCCCCCACAGCACTCAAAACCTTTTCTAATCCATTCAAAGTTTTCTGTTTTCTTTCCAAGCTTCGTGTGGCATTATAAAGACAATAAAGGAAATTATAGTATTTAGCGGAAGGTTAATGTATTGCATTAGCGACCTGCAAATCTTGTTGAATTTCGTTTGTTGCAGACACTTCGTTTTCAAAAATAGTTCCATATAGTGATCCCTTAAGGTTAAACGTCAGTTTCGTATACGTTTGAAAGAGCATCAAAAAGCGGTTTTCTTTTGCAAAAAAGAAAATTCTGCTTCATCGGAGCACACATGCCTAACTAATTATACAATTGGGTGGGATAAGTCTAAAATTATCACCACTACTCGGCGTTACCACCAGCGCCTTTGTTTGAAAGCTTGGCATATTAACTCCGCCCACGGTCCTTTAAATCGTGATGATGGCGGCTTCCTGAAAAAGGCAGCTAATTAGTGATCATATAAAAGGATCTCTCGTTGCAGCGTTTAGATCACCCCTGACGAAGGCACTAGACAGGAGTGTCGAAACGTTGGGTCTATGAATTGTAACTTCTTCGGTTACATTTGTTAAATCTGTAAACCAGAGTAGCATCAAACCATGTTCGATTGTCCACCTGGTTGCCATGTGAACTTTAATATATTATAATTCATATTGTTCAATAGGGATTTCTGTTTACGTTTAGAGACAACGTTGAAATTCATTTTCACGGACATGAAATGTTGCAATCAAAGAGCCGACACAAAAACCGACTCTGATTGGTCATTGGTCTAATCTTGAGTGCAAGGAGATTTGACATGGCTTAACCTCTCAACTCTCAGATCAAATTTATAATTCTCCTTACTGTCAATCATACAATTCTTACAAAGTTAGTTCAGAGAATTTAGTATTGGGTCGACTAATTATCCCCAAATTGATATTTTTCTTTATTCTCATCACTTATCTGGTTGATATTGTATTGATATTGTAAGGAGAAATTCTGTCTTGGTCTTTCATGGGGGTTAAAGTTTTAACTACTTTGCTACATTATCGATACAGAGTTAAGCGACAGAGTTCTTAACATTGCGCAAAAGAAGTCCAGCTCCTGCAATGTCAGATACAGGATTTCTAACTACGAGAACACGGAGATCGATTTAGTTACAGTCCGGTGACATCTGGTAATAAAACCTATTTCATTATTTGATGTAATGTGATTAAAATGATCCCAAACAGTATTTTGAAC